CCCCCCCCTTCCAAAAAAAAAAAACTAATCACATCTAAACGCTTGAGCCCTTGAGTCCAAAATTCAAAAACCCGAACCGGCGAATACTGCCGCCAGGCCCCGCCAGCCAACCCGATGCCGCAGAAGGGGAGCCAAGGCACCGGTCTTATATGGGGGCTTCCCAAAATTTAGGGGTACCTTTTTGGGGGTCTCCGCAATAAGGATTATAGTCTATTGTTTTTTTTGGGTGTTCCCCCAATTTTGGGAAACTACCATAGACCTTCCATAATGCCGAGCCGAAGCCACAACTCTAGGCTCTACTGAAAAGGGATGAAACATCCACGAAAGCGTCAGGGTCCACAGTGGCAGATTCATCTGCTGTGCCCACGGCTCGATGCCCACACCATTATCCTTAGCCTCTATCTGATGACGGGTTTAGCGTGTAGCTTTGCTGTCTGTATCATGCCGTTTGTCGTTGCTATTGCCCACATAGTATGATGGCGGCAACAGGTGATGTTTGTAATGATGATGGTGATGTTGATGTTTGTGCTGACATCTGCGCACGTGGATTCTGACTAGGACTAAACTGGCCATCCCCTTGCACCATGAGTGTGATTCATCTTATGACGTGCTACGTCTTTTGTTTGCTGAAATGTGCATAGCTTACAAGATGGAGGTTTCTAATTACTCGCATCCTCAAATCGAATTTGTCCAACATACATGAGTTGCGACCAGGCGCCGTGCTTGTTGACCCCAACTATCATTTCTGCTGCACTTGCAGTTTTCTTGTTGCAAGAGAATTCTGCTGCATCACACATTCTTTGTTCATTCTTGTAGCCCCTCCGCGGAAGCCCAGTAAACCCACACATGATCCTGCTCAGCCGGTGAGAGTCACAACGGAATGGGATTGTGACGATGCCATGTAATTTAGGTGCCTAATTGACTAAGCTAGACAAGAATCCTGGGTATATGTAGATATATATACCTAGATAGTGATTACAATGATTGCTTGGGCACCCACTAGGCAGTTCTTTTCACAGTACAGGCATTAGGCATATGATTAGAATAGGACTCTGAGACATTGTTGAAATAGACATTCCCTCTAGTCTGTCATACAAGCTATCTCTCAAATTTACTTGGAAGTTTGGTATTGGCATCTAGGCCTTCGCCGTCTTGTGCGTGGCCTGTTGCAAGGCAAACCGCAGGTGCATTACCAGGCAGCGTATGGTGCGAAGGCCGGGATTGCATTTTCCATAGGTCGTTATGTAGGGGATCATCTAGGAGAGAGAGAGAGAGAGAGAGACAGATATATATATGTATATATATATATTTATATCACACACACACACAGAGGGGATAGAAGCAACCAACAACTTGCAGGGATTGCATTTGCTTGGCTTTCTAGCTTTCATCTCTGCATCCTGCCTGCCTGAAGGTCAGCAGGCCTGCGTAAGTCTCGCCCCGCTCCTGTAGCCCAAAAAAGCTTGAGCTTTTGTTATTTCAGTTCCCAGTGTTATTAAGTTAAGGGAGGCTGTAATGTAGCTACTTGCCAACCTCTCCCCTCACTCTGTTGCACCGCAAGTGCCAAGAAGCCCAAGCTCCGTATAAGAATCTCGGTGCCAGGGGAACTGGGGCGGCAAAGGCGCCTGGAACTGGGGGCCAAAAGGCCTCGCGATTGTATTTCAAGCATGAAGATTTCCGACCGCACCGTTTTTGGTACTTGCTATCCTGGAACAATTCGTCATCATTAATGACACTTGAAGCAAGCAGAAAATAATCGTGATCTAAGTCAAACACTTCCTGTCTTGAGGTGGCTGGTACATGTGGCCCGGTCAGAAGGGAGGCTGGTACTGAGCGCGTGCACAGCCTTTGGAAAGAGTTGAACAAGTGGGAGGCGGGATGGGAACCTGGAAGTGGTAGTTTGCCAAAATAGGGGGACCCCAATATAGACCCCAAAGTACTACAATGCTTATTGTTGGGACCCTTGAAAGGTACCTAAGTGTTTACGAATAAGCCACCAGAATCTGCCTAGATTCCCATCATCACGCCTCCACGCTAATGTACAGAACCAGTTTCAACTCTAAGTGCGTAGGGCTCCCTGATGACAAGCACACCGCTTGCACATGGTGTGGTCGTCGTGCTCCCTCCTACCCTAAATCCTACACCCTATAATGTAGGCCGACTTTGAAGGCAAGTTGGTACCCCGCAAGTTTGCAAATTGCATGTTGCACAGAACATGAGAATAGGCCGGCCGGTCTGGGGGCTACACCATGTGCCTGTCAGGTAGCCTTTTTTCTGTGCCCAGCTTTGTGCGGCGCAGATCCTAACCTGACAAAGGGGCAGCCAGGAGTGTTCCTATTTGAGGTAAGTAATTGCTTGTTCTGTCTTGCCTACGTTCGTGTGGGAGGCTGTTGATGGAAACCTTTCAACTTAACTTCCAACTGGCCAAGCCTTTTGTCAGGGTAGAAAGTTGTTTGCCATCAAGCAACTGCACTGAGTGCAGGCAAGGAATAAAGACGCGAGACGAGTTTTCGATGCCAAAAAGTTGCGGCCGGTTGACACACCACAGCCTGCCATCTCTGCAAGTGCATAAAGGATAAGTAAGACTGCCAGAGGTCCTGGTCTGGCAAGCATACCGCCATCAACAGCTTGAACACTGGGATAGTAGTAGTGATGAGTCAGTTGAAATGCTTGAGTCTCAGGCCGCAAAATTGATGCTGGTACCAAGCACTATTTCGTCCCGTGATGCGTCTAGGAAGTAGTATAGTCAAAGCCAGAATGGCAGAGAGTAACAACCTCCTTCACCCTGCAGCTGCCCCAAACGCTAAACCCTAAACCCCAAATTCCGTCAACCTCTGCTGACGGAAAAGGGTCCCAAACAACAAACATTCCAAACCATAACTGAACCCGAACCCTTCACAAACATCCTAAACCATAAACCCTAAGCCCTAAACCCCTAAACCTGTAAACCCTTAAACCCTTAAACCCTTAAACCCTTAAACCCTTAAACCCTTGAACCCTTAAACCCTTGAACCCTTAAACCCTTAAACCCTTAAACCCCTAAACCCCTAAAACCCTAAAACCCTAAATCCTAAACTCCCGTGGCCAAGCGGCTCCACAGCTTCCGGCGTGGCCGTTTCCCTCGGCGTCATGGCGACGCACAAGGCCTTCATTGGGGTTTAAGGGGTTTAAGGGGTTTAGGGGCTTAAGGGGTTTTAGGGGGTTTAGGGGCTTAAGGGGCTTTAGGGGGTTTAGGGGGCTTAGGGGTTTTAAGGGTTTTAGGGGTTTAGGGGTTTTAGGGGTTTAGGGGTTTAAGGGTTTGAGGGTTTGGGGTGTAGGGTGGTTGGTAGCTGGGGTGAGAGAGAGGGGTTTGGGGCCGCAGGACACGGGAGCATAGTTGTTCTATGGGCAGCAAGTACCCTTGGGCAGGAAGACTTGCATTGATGCAGAAGGCTTCGAGACCATGTGTTGAGGGAGAACAGGCGGAGATGTGAAGGGATTCTCTGGGAGCGCAGGGGAGCCTGACATACATTCTTCGAGACAAGTGCTGACGCAGCTAGTTGGGGGGGACTTGTCCCGCCATATTCAGCAGCCAAGGCAGAAGCTAAGAGACCCGGCTCTTTTCCCTCACTCCACCCGACTCTTGACGCAGGCGCGCGACGGGTAAACATACATTCCACTGACATTTCCGGAATTGTTCTGAGCCACAAAGGTTCCATGTAACCCAAACCTGATTTCGAGAATTATCCTCAGCCAAATCGCTAAACCCTGAGCCGTTTTCAAAGCGTATTGGAAGGTCGTGTACAAGTCCACCGGCTCCTTGGCTGACACGTGGTTTAGGGTTCAGGGCTTAAGGTATCCAAAAAAGGGGTCTAATTTAGAGTGGTTGCAGTGGAGTTATACGATTTCTTCACATAATTGCCCTTACAGTTTTTCGAAAGCTATTGCGGGTTCTGCCTCGACTATAAGTCAACGCCTGGTTCGAGATATGCTGGCCCTCAGCTGGTCGTCCTGGAACATTTCCATCTGCAGAGTTCTTACGGTCGTGGCAAGGCAAGCAAGTAAAGCATGCGGACAACGAGCATAGCAACCATTTCTTCTTCTTGTTCTTCTTGCCAGCGGGAGTTGTTGGATAAACTCCCCAAACCCTAGACCCCAAACGCTAAACTCTGAACTGTATGAAGCCTAAGCTAGCTATCCGAGAGGCTGTCTGCCCGGCAGCAATGCGGTGAAAAGTGTGCCTATTGATGACCTTGCCACTTCCTCCGCAGAGCTGACATGGGGGTAAAAGGGTTTAGGGTATGGGGCTTAGGGTTTAGGGTCTATAGGGTTTAGGGGTCTAACTCCTTAAAGGGGTTTCCTAAAGGGTTATAAGGGGACTACTATAGGGGTTATTAAGGAGATAGCAGGAGTTTAGACTACAGCTCCTATTGGTAGCTAAACTAGGATTCTGGGGAAAAGGGAGGGTGAACATGAAGTGCCTTTATGCACCCTGTTCTAATATCGTAGTTTCCATTTTCTTTCATCCTCCCTATATAACCCTAATACATACCTTTTTATAACTTCACAAGCTCGTCATTTTAGAGTTTGCAGGTGATTGGACAAAGAACTTTTGTCTCTGGCTAACGCGGTCCTGTATACTGAGTGAGGCCTTATCACTCTGCTCCATGAGGTGGCTCCACAGATCCTCCCTGACCATTGTAGATCGCCATGAGCAGTTGTTTTACATGGGTTCGAAGGCTGGGCTGGGATATGGGTTGATTCTGCCATGTGATCTGTAGTTTGTCCACGGGCTTGCAGCTCAGCCGCCACGAGCCCCATTCCGGTGTAGGTTCCTTGCAAACAGGGGGTGGAGGCCCTAAACTCTAAACCCTAAACCCTAACCTTAAACCCTAGCTCAGGTCAGGCTGACTTACCGGACTGCTTACTCGACAGGCAGGATGCTGGCCGAGATGTAGTATGAGCTTGGTTTGCAAGCAGGTGATTTGACACAGAGCTGCGGCAACGAAAAGCGCAAGTGTTGAATTTCGAGGATTTTAAGGGACTTTCCGAGAGCTCAATGCTAGTCACAATGCGAGGATCATTTTTCCAGACTCCAGCCCACATGTTATTATTGCTACAACTGTCATGCACTATGAACTATCGACACTGCTAACTAACATCATTCATTGTAGCTCCTAGCAGTATTGACGTGAGGTAGCGTGTACTGTACCAAATACAGTGAGTCTAGTTCCTAAGTGCATATGTTTAATACTTGTCCGGGTTTCTACATTGCTCGCCTGCAGGAGTGGCTGGTCGCATCCCAGCCAGCGAAGATCGAGGGGAGAACTTCGCCGGCATCCACAACATTGGCCGCAAGGAGCCCATGCCCCGAGCACGAAGCAAGCCTCCTTTTTTTTTTTCTCCCTTCTTCATGTTCCGGCTTGTGGAGCCCATTGCAACCACTGTTTTGGTCTGGCACTAGCAGTAGCACTCTCGTCTCACCTTGCATCACCATTACCTTCGCCGTCATGCCTACTACTCTGCATTACCTTTGTCTCTTGCTTTCATGCGTCATGTCTAAACCTACCCTAAACCGTATGACCGTATACCCTAAGCCCTAAACCGTGTGGCTGAACATGCATTACCTCGAACCTGATGCTATGCGAGGAATCGCCGTACATGAAATTCCAGAAGAGCACTGCCCGGCGCTCACTCTTCTCCATCCCCTTCCTTGTAAGGGCGCTCCCCCAAGAAGGCTTCTGGGAACGTATTGGTGAGCCTTGAGTCCATGAGGTTGGCAGGCGATACTGTAGTTCGAAGCCCCAGGCCCTGATGGATTGCACGGCGCCTGGTTTTCTAAGGCCCCGCTGCTCGACTACAGTGCGGTCAATAGCAGGCGCGACTTCACACCACATCCCCTGGGTGACAACAAGGCGGGGTTGGGATTGGGTACTGAGATGTGTGAGAAGTCGGCATTCCTGTTGGGGGTCCTAGGTGCCTTCATTTATGAAAGAGCAGGAAGGTCAGGAGGGTAAAGGACAGACCTGGAGGCGTGCGAGGGATAGGAGACTAAGGGCCATGATGATCCTAACAGTTGCTGCCACAACAAGACAAGCTTGAACGTGGTTTATGACTTCATCGTGGCGGAGGTGGCGCGGCACGTGGGGAGCTTGGTAGTAGGTAGGTAGGCAGGTAAGCAGGTAGGCAGGTAGGCAGGTAGGCAGGTAGGTAGCAGCACCAGCAAAACCCTAAACCCTAGACTCTAAACCCCAAACCCTAAACACCCTAAACTCTAAACCCTAAATCCTAAACACCCTAACTCTAAACCCTAATTAAATCCTAAA